ACTTTTTCTACTCCCTTAACTTCTTTATAGTACCATTTGCTCCTACTCATCACACTTGCTGGTCTGATACATGGCTGGACCTGTTTATCATCAATTCAGCGCGGAACCTTTTGTCCTCGTCCCAACAACCTGTTCCTTTCATCTCTTCACATGACCTCATCCAACTATCATACAATATCCAGACCCCTGCGATCCTTCCTAAAACAATAACCTTCTGCAATATAAATTCCCTAACCCATGAAAGCATCTTACCGGATATTGAAACCCTGAATTGGAATGATGTTTACACCAGCTCCTCAATTGATACCATGGTAGATACCATAGATATCCTGACTTCTGCCATACTCTAACTTGACGCAAACAACGATCAGGCAAGCGAAAACTAATTACTTTCATGAAGCCTTCTCCTCGGCTCCCGATTCTAAATCCAAATGGCATTTACTCTGAAAGCTGTCTGCAAATCATCTTCTTCCACAGCTGTCCCAGTCTCTCCTGATGCTTTAAATTCCTACTTTTTATCCTCCTCATCTAGTAATATTTCTCCTGCCTCTTCCTATATTTCTGTATCATCTGCATTTAATAGTGACAATTTTTATTTTTCCTACATCACTCCTACGAACCTTATTTTCTTCATAATGAAATCCCAATCCAACTCTATAAGAATTGACGGAATACCCGTCAAACTGTTGAAATTATGCCTCCCTGAAATCCTTCCAGTTCTTCTATTCATTTATAACTTTTCCCTTCAAAATTCTGTTTTTCCTACATCTTGGAAAAAAGCCTTAGTCCGTCCTATTAACAAAATCCCTAATCCCACCTCTCCTAAAGACTATCGTCCAATTCCCATCCTCTCAAATCTGTCAAAACCCCTGGAAAGAATAGTCCAATCCCAAATTTCCAATTTTCTCGAAGAGTTCAAAGTTTTAGGTCCTCTCCAATCTGGCTTTCGCGCGAGCTTCTCCACTCAATCCGCTTTAATTAAAATCACAAATGACATACATACTGCAATTGACGAAAAAAAACTGACTGTAATACTCCTGGACTTCTCCAAAGCATTTGATTCCTTAGACCATTCTATCCTCTTCACTAAATTAATATCTCTATCCTTCTCTAATAGTTCTATCCTATGGTTCCAATCCTTCCTTTCTGACAGGACTCAAGCTGTTAGTATTCCGAATCAACCCTTATCTTCTTTCCTCACTTTGTCTCATGGAGTAGCCCAGGGTTCAAGCATTTCTCCTATTCTTTTTAATTCTTACATCAATGACCTTCCTAGTTCAATCCACCATTGTTCATACCATCTATATGCTGATGACTCCCACAACCTATCCACATGTTCCTTGTTGGAGCTTGAGGACAGAATGAAGAGAATCATGAACTGTTTTTGAATCTTGATTCGTCTTCGGCACTTCAAGATGGTCTCATGTGTCCCACCTATATGCCGAGTCAAAGTGGCTCTTCCCCTCTTCCCGCCGCCTATACTTTCTCGGAAATTTCTTATACTAAACGATCAACTCTCAGCACCCTTCCTATATCTATTGTCTCCTCCAGCCTAAACCTTTAGTCCACTCAATAAAAACGAGATCCCGTGTTTCTGACCTCATTATTCCATTCCACAGGACAAAAACCTATGAACATTCCTTGTTAGCCTGCTCCGTCGCCTACTGGAATTCTTTGCCACATAACATCCGTCATGCCTCTTCCCTGTCAACTTTCAAATACCTCCTTTTCGAATATCTCCTTACATCCCAAACAGAAGATTCCCAACCATAAATTTCATTTTATGAACTGAATTTGGGTGAAGTAAATGGCGGTGCCTACTGTTTAAGTTTTAACATGAAACAGATATGATCTTTGTCACCTAGTTTGACTATTATTTTTACTATTTATTGTTTTTCTCTTCGCCTCAGGTTATGCTTTTTATTTCGGGTATATATGTTTATATTTTATCCTTTTTGTCTCTGTGTGTAGCAATATGAGTATGTATGTAATCCTTAGTAATCCTGAGATTTTATTTTATCTTAGTTTTTGCATATTATTGTATAAATCATTGTAGATATTATTACATTTTGTATTAAATTATTTTTCTATTAGATAGCCTATTGTTTAAAAATTGTGTAGTTATGTATATATAAATATTTAGTTTCTTTTCTTTTTTTTCATCACATTAATAAGTAATTTTGAGAAGATTTTTTGTTCATTTATATATATATATATATATATATATATATATATATATATATATATATATATATTGTTTATTTTTTAGTGGTTACATACTTTTTTTAATGATATATACAGTGTTAGAATTTTTATAAGTTAGTTTTTGGCCAGATTTGTATTTTATTTTGTATTAATTCATCATTGTTATTCTAAAGGGACTTAGTCCCAGAATAAAGTTCAATTTTCTATTCTATTTTTAACTTTTTTGAAACATTCAGTAACAGATGGTTCATTATTAGAAGGGTTATTTCCATTAATGTTGTCTGAGAATGTTTTTTGAAACCATTTTGAGTGTTTTTTTAGTAAGGAAGGAAAAACATTTTGTCTTGGCTTGAATATTATTTGTTGTGAACGGTGGATTGTTGGTGGTGTTTACTAAGCTTCAATTATTGGTTTCGTATGAAGTGTGAGCATTTTTTGTACTTTAAGAAATGACTTTCATTGCAGTTACTGCACTTCAGGATGAAATCTTCACGTGTGATATTAGAGCAGTCTTTTGATAAGTGTTCTTCAAAGTACTTCAGGCATCTTAGTTTTTTTAAGCAGTTTCGAGCTATGTTATTATATTCTTGACCTAAATAACATTGTGTCAACACTTCTTTAATCACATATTTGGTCGACCTGAATGTCTTTGATAGAATAGTCCGGGGACACGCCTTTTAATACCACCACTTTAGGCTTAATTTCATGTTTAGGAGTATAGGTATGGAAGTTATCCTTAAGTAATTTAAGTTCATTTTTTACATTTATGAAGTCTTCATTATTGTATACATAAAAAATTGTTTTATTTCCACAGTATTTGATATTTATATTTTTTATTGAATTTTTAAGTTTTGTAAATATCTCCTTATGATTTGAAAATGAGGAATTAACTATTATTAGGGAAAATTCTTTTAAGCCAGAATTTTTACTAGTTTGAGCAGAAATCTCTTAATCTTTTTCCTCATCAGACAAAAGCGAGTAACTATTTTGAGTAGGATGCTATATAAGATTGACTCTTTTTGGAGCTGAATTAAATTGTCCATCTTTTTTTTTGTACTAGAAGTACTAAGTACTAGAAGTATCTTCTTAGTCTTCCATGTTCACTTTACTCCCCGAAAGGGCATTCTTATTTAAAAAATTGTTACCGTAAATAATATGAAAGTTCTGAGTATATCAATATTAAAACTAAATCCGTATTATAAATAATACTATCTGAAAACTGAAATAAATTAAAATAAAACAAAACAATTAAAGCAGAGGTTATAGTATCTTTGCTCGGTAGCTGCTAGAGTAGGACTATTTTCTTTTTTTTTTTTAACCTTATAACTTATTAACACTTTCTGATGACATAAAAATATCACATAAAAATAATATCCCTTCAACCGCTTTTTTTTTTTTTCTCATTTGGACATTTGGCTACAGTTTCTCTTCTACCCATTTTATGAGTAGATTTTAAACTATGATGGTGAAAATTTTAAAGATACTGTTCGGCAGTAATTTTTGGGATAACATGTAGATCCTTTTTTGTGAAGCCAATTCATTATTGTCAGACTGTGAGATAACTGGAAAATTTCAATGTTTCTAGCAAACATGCTCTACTGACTATATTTTGTTATAAAGCTTTAATAAACCGTTTTTCCATTTTCTATCTAGCATTTTAAGACACATTGAACATCAAGTTTAGTACTGTAGATTTATTTATTTTTACTATTCTTGATGGCTGTCGATTTGTGATTCGTGTCGGAAAGTGATTTCATGATTTTTTGTTTTATAGACAAAGGATTATTTGGTGTGGTTTTGTGGCTATACTTCCTGTCAGAATTCCAGAATTCTATTGGTCTTTTAGTGGAACTGATAGCTGCCTTCATGTTATTGTTATACATTGTTTTAGATATTCAGCAGAATGTAAATGCTTATAGGCTATAAGTTGATCTTATCTTCTTTTTTGCTAATATACAGTTTCTTAAGAATGATGGTTTCCTATTGCTGTGGGACTGGTTATACTGTATTTTTATAAGCTCAGCCTCCTTCATTAGGTCATAAATATTGTTCATATATTTCTCATAAGGTTCTCTACTCCCTCAACCTCTTCGTCAGGTAGTGTAGTGGAATTGACTTAATACCCTGAAGATGTTTAAATTAATTTAATTCCTCTCTCACCAAATTCATTTAGACTTATTTAATTTTCTTTCCTTTGCTTCATTGAATGTGTTTGATAAATACGGGAAATGATTAGAGAGAGTGCATTTAAATCTGTGGCTTCATATAGACAAGGCCAAGGATATCCAGACATAATCAAGAATATAAGACTTATGAACAATAAGTAATTTTGAAATGAAAAGAAAAAAATCGATTAGGTTTATAAATTTAACTTTCTTTGGGTTTCTTTTCTTTCTTATTTTTTAGAGGTTAGGTTATAGGCACTTAATCTTATCAGATCCAGGGAGCTGGAAAATTATCACGGAAAGTATGTACTCTTCACTCTTATTTTAATAGAACAATGGAAAGGGGGTTCTTCTTAGCACTTTTCACTTGTTTTCATCATAAACTGTTTTAATTTCTTTTTTAAAAATGCATTAAGAACAGACTTGATGTTCACGTTGCCAGTAGTCTATGTCAACTCCCTTAAAATCTTAGTAAAATTATTAGAGTTTGTGATCCGTCAAAACTATTTGTAAGTCTAATATTAACCATCCTTTTATCCGTTGCATCACTATGTATGCTACTTGCATTAATGTTTCTTTAGTAATATTTTTTAAAATTTTAATGTTGTTTTTTTTTATGTTTTTCTCCAGAGGTTGTGGACACTTTGTGACTTGGCTATGGCTCTCCTTCTTCAGAAAACAACTAATTTTGATTATAAAGATCTTCAGGCAGACATAAGGATACCTGTCATGTTCTTCAAACGGAACCCAGACCCAAATTATGTGAATACTAGAAATTTTTTGCCAGTTGAATTCCAATATACGGTAAATATAATATAACTTGATTTCAATAAAATTTCACATAGTTTATTTTTTTAAGTACATAATAACTATTTATACCTTGAAAGTTTTTGAAAAATCTAGCAGCAACCAATTTCATCTTAATCATTCCTGAATTTTATGTCATTTTGCTAAGATAAATCGAATTAGTAATTGGTCCTAGTTTTGTAAAACTGATAACATTATACTTATTTTTTTAAATATTTATTTGTATATGAACCTGTCAATATATATATTTTTTTTAGTGTTGGCTCAAGGCTCGTCGACCCCTATTGGGTCCACTGTGCGCTATATATTTTTTTAATTAAATGTATTATGCACTATAGGAGAAAAGTTATCTCAATCTACATTTTATTTACTATTTCCTAAGGTTGACATTTATCTTCCTTTAATTATATGTTTACTCAGAACCAATATAATTATTGCTGTTACCTGTACTTGTTAGTAATCATGAAGTACTTTATATTAATTTTCAAATAGTCTATTGAAGCAAAAAAATTAAACATCTATTCCAATTATTTTTATAGATGGGCATTTATCTTTAGAGGTTTCATAGGGCTGTATATGGGTGTATTTTGACTGATAAAAATTTTTATTGTTCTGTTATTACCTAAATTGCCTCTCTGGAAATTGTACAGGATGAAAAATAAAAGTTTGTCTCGCATTGATTTAAACATTAGGTTCTTCCATTTTGGATATGATTGTATTGTGGGTCTTAAGTTCATGGAACTAATCAATTCTGAAACAAATCTTATTATCTCAAGAAGGTTGTTTTTCCCATTAACCACAGCTGTAGAATATTGCCTTTTTACCAATGTTTCATTATTATATTAATCCAAAGGATGTGTAGATCAGCCCACTGCCCCCAGGTTAGCTAGAAATTGTAAGGAGTGTGTAGAGGAGTTTTAAAGAGGCAGGTTATACAGGGTGTCCTGTAAGTAGAGGAAAATATTCATAGGAGTGATAGCAGACCTCAAAAGATACAAAAATTTTCATATAAACAATGACCTAATTTTTAGCAGAAAAGCAAGAAATTTAATTTTTGTGTTTTCTTAAATAAATCATGTTTTTTGTTGATTAGGAAGTAATAACTAAAGAAACATTTAGTTTAAGTAATTAATAATTGCTTCACTGTAAACTAAACAAAATTTACTTGAAAAGAAAATTAAGTTTGTCATTGTTAAAACCATTTAAAGAAAACTTTTGAGCAGCTAAACTTAGCTAAGTTCTGTTTTTAAAAAACTCATAAATTATTTGAGATTTTTTTTTTTTTTTATCATCATCCAACTATACTACAGATACCCCACTTTTAGAAAAACTTCTTCATTTAATAAGCTTTAAATCTGTATTAAATAAGTTAATGTTTATTAGAGAAAAATTTGAAAGTCACCACATGTGAAAAAAATAATGTGATTTTTTATCTTGTCAAGTATAAGTATCCCTGTTTTCAGCAAAAATAACTACAATTAATTGTTGTAAACCTTTTATTTCTTGTTTTCCATTATCTGGTATGCTTTATAATAAATAAATTTGAAAAATAATGATTTTTCATGTAAAGTGTTTATGAAACTGTGTTTTTCATCCAAGATCTGTATTATAGGAATTGATTCGTATTTATAAGGGACAAACTTTTTTTTGTTATAAGTTTGTAAGGGTCAAACCTGTGTTTTTCTCCTAGATCTCCATCATAGGAATAAATATATATTTATCAATGAGAAACTTATTGTTTCTTACTAAAATTTATGTTTAAAATAAATAAACCTTCTGATTGCTTCAATTATTTTCATTAAAATGTAAATAATAGGGCTAGAAATATTAAGTTTGTCACTTATCAATTCCTATGACAGAAATCTGGCAGAAAAACACAATTTTATAACCTTCTTACATGAAACATATTTGAAAATCATTATTTTTAAATTTTTCATTATAAATAAAATGTGTTTGTTTAATACAATACATCCTTTTACATAACTTTCACATCACAATATCATGGAAAAGCAAGAAATAAAAGCTTTGCAAATGTTAATTGTAGTCATTTTTGCTGAAAACACGGGTACTTTTAGGTAACTGGATAGAAAATCACATAATTTCTTTACACACCTTGATGTAAATCTCAAAAATTTTCCTAATAAACCTCAACTTAATTAATATACACTTAAAACTTATTAAACGGGGAAGTTTTTCTATAAGTGGGGTAGATGTAGTACAGTTAAAGGGTGATAAAAAAAAATCACAAATAGTTTATGACTTATTTTAAACAGAACTTAGCTGTGTTTGACCGCTCAATAGTCCTCTTTAAATAGTTTGAAAAATTAGAAACTCTACTTTCCTTTAAAGTGAATTTTGTCTAGTTTACTATGGAGCGATGTTCAATTGCTTAAATCTAATATTTTTTAAGTTATCGCTTCCTATACAACAAAAAATATGACAATTAAAAAAACACAAATCTTGAATTTCCTATTTTTCTGCTGGGAATTGGGCAATTGCTTACGTGAACTTTGTTGTAGATCTTGATGTCTACTATCAACCCTTTTAAATATTTCTCTCTACTTACAGGGCACCCTGTATACACACAGCTGGTGTGAGCAAAGAGGTTGTGTGAAATGGATTTTTCACTGCCGCTTCTTTTTACTTGATAGAAATCATAAAATATGCAATTATTTCCACTTATTACACTGCCCTACAAACAAATTTTTTTGCTTGTATCTTCGATGAAAACTGTTCCTCTTGACTAATTTTGGTGTGAGAAACTCGAATTTTCTGTCAAAATCCTTATATTAGCTACTGTTCTGCACTAGCTACATATACCCATTATCAAATAAAAAAAATTAAGTTATTGGAAGTTACACGATCATTTTTTAGGTTTTAATAGTGTTTTATTATTTGTGAAATACTTTTACAACCCACAAAACATTAAATTACAACTTCTCTCGACAAGAACAGAGCTGTTGTACAGTTTATTTAGAATGTTTCTTCTTTGCTTGACGATTGTACTGATGTTCTAGCAAATCCCTCACAACATTCCAACAGTAGTCTGCGAGCATTGAAGTATCCACCGACCTTGATATCTTTGTTCCATCGAGGATATATCTTGGTGAAGAAAGTGAATATTGAGTGACATGTTACAACAGAGATCTCTATATTTCTCAAGGAGGGTTTGGACTAAGACAGCATAATTGTCCTCTCTTTTGTTACCCCAGAAACCATTAACTAAAGCTGTAAATGCTTTCCATGCTGCTCTTTCTTTACCCTGAAGAATATTCGAAAATTCTCTGTCATTAAGAATCTCACAGACTTGTGGACCAACAAATACACCCTCTTTAACCCTAGCTTCACTTAAGTTAAGAAATTTTCCTCTCAAATACTTGAATGCCTCTCCTGGTTAGTCTATTCCTTTTACAAAATTTTTCATGAGCCCTAACTTTATATGTTATTATTTATTTTACGGCTCAACAGGCGCCTGAAGAAACTAATTAGGAAATAGAGACTAATTTCCCCATTCTTGAATTTATTGCCCCTCCTATTTTAAAAATTATGTACCCCATTTTGACAATGCTCTTGCAATTATTTCAGATGAAAATCTTATTTAACAGGCCAAAATATTTTAAATTAATGATGAATTCCTGACATTATCTGATTCTAGGTGCAGATTTAAACACTAAGCATCAACAATGTACACTGACAGGCAAAAGATTCCACCCACTTGATGTTTTCATCTAAAAATATTTCTGCTTTGGATTGGTCTATTGTTTTTAATGAATAAATAGGTAATCTTTTTGTTTGTTTTCAATTAGGAATGTTAATATAGAGGACAATAACTCTTAATCCATAATTCAATGAAGTGATTTTAGATTCCAAGATTCCAAAACGAACCATTATTATTCTAAAAGAAATTAATTCCATCATCGTTTACAGCGCGTGTTTCCTCCTCTTGCCTTCACTACTTCTTGAGACGCCTCGGTATACTTTTCACCAGTGGGGAAATGTTCTTTTGCTGGAGGATAGCCCATTCCTCCCGAAGAGCCCTTTCAAGATCCTGGAGTGTATCAGGAAGTGTTGCACGCGCTCTTATTCGTCTTCCGAGGTTATCCCATAAATGCTCAATGGGGTTCAAATCTGGAGAACGAGCTGGCCAGGCTAAAACCTCAATATTGTTCTGTTGAAGAAACGTCTGCACTATGCGTGCATTAGAATAGAACGATTGCTGATTTCGTTGAGGATAGGTAACACATGAGGTTCCAAAATATCATCTACATAGCGAATGGCCATCAAAGACCCTCCACGAACAACAACCAATTCTGTGCAGCGCTCCATTGAAATCCCAGCCCACACCATTAAGAAACCACGTTGGAAAGGTTGGCTCTGTGAAAAATTACAGGCTGCATATCTTTCGTTTCTTCTTCTCCACACCCTTTCACGCCTGTCTGGAGATCGAAGAGCGAATCTTGACTCATCTGTAAAAAGTACAGCACTCCATTCGTCCATAGTCCAATGGCTGTGTTCTCGAGCAAAAGCCAGCCGTGTTACTCTGTGAGTTATGGTCAACTCTGGTCCTCTTACTGGATGAAAAGCCATTAATCCAACTCATTTAATCTTCTCCGAGCGGTACGTTAAGAAATTTGCACACCTCAAACTTCCTCGAGCTGATGAATCGCTTGAACAACAGTAAGGTGCCGGTTTCGTAAAATTCTCAAAGTCAAAAACCGGTCATCCCGTGGTTCTGTTACCCTAGGCTGTCCGGAACCGGGCCTTCTCTTGCAAGAACCAGTTTTCCGAAAACGCCTGATGGCGTCTCGTAAAGTTTCATATGGAACTCCGATGGCATTAGCTGCATATCTAATGGAACGTCCATCATCAATAAGTGCCACACCACGCGCAACATCCACAGCACTAAGAGGCATTTTTAAACTTAATATTAAAAAAATTAAAAGCCGGAGACTAAGAAATGTGCTGCAAGAAATGGACACTGAACTAATGATACTGAATAAACATTTTGATTCCATAGAAAGTAAACATTGGAATCTAGAATCATTTCATTGAATTAAGGATTAAGGGTTATTGTCCTCTATATTAACATTCCTAATTGAAAACAAACAAAAAGATTACCTATTTATTCATTAAAAACAATAGACCAATCCAAAGCAGAAATATTTTTAGATGAAAACATGAAAAAATCAAGTGGGTGGAATTTTTTGCCTGTTAGTGTAGTTCCAGAACCACAAATTCACGTGGACGAACATTGCTGTCTGCACTAAATTCCCATCCTTCAACCTTCCTTCCCCTTGCTTTCCTACCTACTTCCCCACGGTATCTAGATTTAAAACAATGGCTTAAGCTCCTTCAATTACAAGTCTAAATGAACTCTGCTCTGATCATACATACCTTCTAATTCTCCAAGTTTTACTAGCTCCCATTCCCTAACATTTTACACCGCTTTTCATTAGAAGAAATACTTTACCTCGACATCTCCCAGATCTGATGCATTATAACACTGTGCCAGATCATTATGGCTACGTACCAGAAATCCCGCTGATCGCAGCTCCTACAACTATTACTGCAAACAATTGAAGTTGAAATTAGCCGTCTATATATTCCATTCCTTAATTCCTATCTGTCCTCCCATTCTGCATGTGACAATTCCCTGTGTAATATCAATAAAATAATTCTAAAATCCCATAAAAGTTGTGACTGTTACTGATGTTACTTATTAATTATAATTGCCTAATGTATACATATAATTGCCTTTAATATTTTTGAGAAACAAAACAAGATTATATCTACAATGTTTTAAACTAACATTGATATAATATCTCATATAGATACATATTAATTATTTAAGTGAGGGGAGGGCAATAATTTTTTTAGGGTGGAGAACATGCACCATTGGCCTTGGGGGGAATGGGCACCCCTGTCTCCCATAATTGTTAAAGTTTACATTAAAATCTTTTTGAACAATGTTTCCTACATATCGTGAATTTAATTTCGCATCTTTGCATTTAATGGAACATTAACGGTGTCACAGGCTTCTACTTTTGAAGGTGAAGTTAAGCTATGGTGATATCAGACACTAGCCCAATCAGAAATCTTTATAAAATTGTTTTTATTATTTTTGAAGTCCACTTACCGGAAAAGTATGCCAGAAAGACTTTATTTTACACTTGAATGAGATTGATTTTTGTTATGCTTTTTTCTAGGTATACAATTGTTTTTAATGTGATTAACTTTGTCACAGTAAAAACAATGCTGGGTTTCCTTTTTAGAATTTTGGAACTATAGCTACATCATTGTTCTTCACATCTTCTTTTTTAATTCTTTTTATACTCACTGCACTGCTCTCAAGAGCCATAATTATTGAACAATATTCATCAGGTGAACCAGCCAATGAAAGTGCTTCAACCATAGTTTTCATGTCCAATTAATTTCTCGATGAAAATGTTTGCCCTAGTCAAGATTAAAAGCCTTTTAGATTATAAAATTTGGTTTGCCTGAGCCCCTAACCTGTTAATTTATTAAATTATTAACAACAACTTCATAGAAAAGAATCCTATACATTTGATCAAATGTAAATACATATAAAGGAAGGAGATGGTCCAGGGTGGCGGTCATAAATAGGCTAAATAGTGGAGTTCTAAGTGAAACTCCTAGCTGAACATAAATACATATAGTTCATATATCACAAACAGATGTAACAAGAGAATTTTGTTTTTAAGAAGGTTACATCTTAAGAATGTTATTTGTCAATGAAGAGCAAATAAGATAACATTTACATATAATTTTATTTTCTTACTTGTCTTTTAATGGGAGTGAGGATATTTGTTATCTATATATTCGTTTTTTTTTTTTTTTTTTTTTTTTTTTTTTTTTTTTTTTTTTTTTTATTATGAATAATTGGAGTTTTTATTTATTTTTCTGTTGAAAGACTATCGTATTATTTGTACATTATAATTAGCTCTGAATTAAGAGTTTTTTATTAAAAGGTTTGAAGATTTATTGTTATAAAGTAGAGCATAGTATTGGATACTTTAAAAAATTGCTCATATCTAGTTTATTGTATTTAAAATCTTCTAATTTATTGTTATTAATTTCATTATTAGGGACAAGCAAGTACTAAGAAGTCTGCTCCACTTGTTACTATGACTGCAAACCGTCGATTGAAAAACAACAAAAAAAATACTACTCAGGGTACTACTATTCAGCTCCATGCTACTGATGCAAAGGTATTTTTATTTTTTTAATTAAGTTATACTACATTCAAATATCATAGACATAGAACACATTTTTTATGGCTTAATTAAATTAAAAGGTATTTTTGTATTTGTTGATAAATCACCAACAATTTGGATAGAATCAAAATCAGATTTGCTCAATGTTTTGTTAATGTGATGTAGGTGTAAAAAAGTCTTAGATGGGGTTGGATTGAATGAGCTTTCCTGATTGATGGATTTACTTGTTATCTAGGTATTTAGATGTATCTCTTTCTTTTAATTATAACATGTCTTATACTTTGCTTAATTTTTAGTCCTTTTCTTTTTTAATTATAATTGACCTACCATAACTTGAATTATTTTTTAATTGGACTGTTCATCATTTCATCTGTCCGTACAGCAGAACACACATTTTTCAATGTTCTTTAAAATGTTCCTTTTTTTCAGAACAAATGTTACAAATTATATGTTTATCCATTTTTATTTTTTAATGCTGATCCAAGAAGGTGTCTTAATTTAATGGCCCTAATATAATAAAAATCGTTCTATATCATGGTCACAAACATATGTGTTGTTTAATTTTTTTCCAATTATTGTACGAATTTTTATTTCTAATTTTTGTTTTATGCAGTAGCGCAGATGGTGTAGAAAAAAAAAATTAGGTAGCTTTTATAATTGTAAAAAGATTGTTTTTTGCGATTAAAAAAAAATTGATCAATTGTGTAATGGATTCTGTGATTATTTGTGAATTTTCTTTGATATCACTAGCTTGAATCCTGTCTACTTTCCAACATTGAGATTTGCAATTATATTACTGATATTTTCAATATCATGAGAGGGGATTGTGGACCAATGCGGAAGAGGTTAGGGGGGTTTTTTGTTCATCAGAAAGTTACATTCGTATTTATCGGATTTTCATATTGTGACTGAAATTAATGGATGGAAAATTATTTGTGAATTAAAGTTTAACCATCTGTTTTAAGAATTGTTTCTGTTTAAAAAAAAACAGAACCTCTAAAACCCCTCGAAACCTTGGCATAATTCTTCGGTTTTTCAGCCTCCCTTGGTTTCTTAGCAACAGTTGCAGAGGTTTCAAGATATAATCTTTAATGTTTTTCCACAGATGGTCCTGATCTGGGCCTCCACCTTTGAGGCCTTGCAGTCTTGGATGCCGGCCTTTGTGGCTTAGCAATCTTAGATGCTGGCCTTTAGCATCTTCACTCCTACTAACTGTGGTTTGAAGCTTTCTCTTTTGGCAAGGCAGCTTCATATCCCAGACCTGGGGGCCCTTACATCCTTTGCTGCCTGCTCTTCGGTAGGTTTGATTGTCTTGTCTAGCTGCCTTGGTTCAGAGGCCTCCCTCTCCACTAGCAACCCAACCCTGCCTCGTCAGCCAGGCCTGGTGAGGCCCTTGCATCCTCAGCTGAGTGCTCTAAAGGTGGCCTTATCACTTCGGGTGTGTTTAACAGTAGTTAGGCTTTCGGGGCCTTACTTCTGTTACGCCTCTTCTTGCTAGATCTCATTGTGACAGGCCTCCGCATCCTTGGATGCGTGGTCTCCACCACCCTCTGCCATTCAGTCGCAACTCAAGCTCCTGGACCTAGCTTGGGCGCCTAACAGGACCATCGTAACTATCACAAGGATAGAAGTCGTCAATGAATCCTATCGTACTCCCCGGGTGGTGTCACATGGACACGACAATAGTTGTGTGTAGGGATAAGGAGATCTGGGAATTCATTTGCAGTGGATAGGGCACTGCTGCTTGATCGTATCACAGAGAGTGGGAGAGACTCCTGCCCCTATTTCCCTCTCAAGACATCCTTTTGCCTTACTCATGTGCCTCCCAACTTGTTCAATATGAAGTCTTTCTATCTTTAAACAGAATATTACTGGATTATAATTAAGAAAAGTCAAAAACAACTGTTTGTTTAAACAATGAACATTCTTCATTTTGACTATCCTTTTGTAATAATTTATTAAAAATAAAGAATAATTGTTCTTTACTTTTATGTTCAAATAGAAATACCCCTATTCATTTTTGAGCAGTTTATTTTAAAAATTAAACTTGGTTGTTTTCAGTCCAATTTGTCACCAATACATCAATCCCTCCCCCTTACATTAGTTTTAAAAAAAAAAACAACAGCAAATATGTTGTTTGTCCACATGTTTTAGATGAAAGAGAAAAAATTACATTTAATCAAATGGAGTCAATTTTGTAAACTGAAATTTCTGACTTTTTCTGAAAATTCATGTCTAGCAACAGTTTTACACATTGGAATGATCAAAAGCAATCAAATAAATCAAGGCATACTGTAAATCTCTACTGTTTTTCTAAATTACATACTTTTCTTACTTCTCACTTTTTAAAATAGAATGAAAAAGGGCTTTGATAATTATGCTAGCTGCAGAATCTACGGTATTTTTAAGTGGTTAACTTTTCTCTACAGCAGCTAAAAATAAGGTAAAAAAATGCGCCATTTTTCCATCAGAGGTTTGGAATAAGATTCCAAAGAAACTAAAGCAATGAGGTGGTTTTTCAATATTTATTAAGAGTTTGAAAAACAATAAGACAATATGGCAATTTTATTGATAAATCAAAGTCACTACTTTTCATTTCTGAAGATAGGGATCTCAAACAGATGGTAATAATGGATGTGTGTTTTATTAAGCCTTAGGATTAGTAACCTCTGTTGAGCTATGTATTGGTCAAGACTGCTAATTGACTTACTTTGTCAATTTTGATAACTTTCATTTATTTTATGTGCTTCACATTTTTTACTCTAGTAAAATAAATGAACAGTTTTTTGATCAGTCTAGGTATTTTTAATATTCTAATGAAGTATGGTTTTTGTATCACAATGATTATTACAGAACTTACGCATAATAAGACACATTGTTCAAGAAACTACATTAAATATCCAATTTCACTCCTTTGAATGGTTTAAACTGATCTTTATTCAGTTCTATTATTTATGAAATAATATTATATGTATATTTATATTTTTTAAATATTTTTAAATTTACCACCATGTTTGATTTACTCACACATTGAAGTATTCCTCTTGGCCTCTAAATTTTGAGGTTTAAAGAAGTGTACATGTATAAACTTTTTTTTCTGTCGTGGATTCTTATGTTCACATTGTTTTTCATTTGTTATTTTACAGCCTGCCAGAGGAACATCTGTTCACATTGACACACTGGTAAGGCACAGTCAAATGTTTTCTCGCATACAGTTATTGCAGCAAATCATTTAAGATTATGGATTTTAAAGATTTTTTTCTGATAAACATCATTAATTTGTTGGAATAATGTTAGAAAATTTCATTTTTGAAAATTCTTATAAGTATAAAAGTTGGTATATTGATTGATTATAAACCATGCTATTGATCGTAGTGAAGTTAAAAGTCTACGACCTTAAGACTTAAAGGCAAAGGTAATGGAAACATGTATAAATCTAGTAATTTTATATGGATCTCAGACATATTCTGCAATGGAAAAAATGATAAAATCTGTCATTTTGACAGACTTGATTTAAGAAGGTGGTCAATATATAATGGGACAGAATAACAGAATGGATTATGGCCTAGGAAATAGTAGAGATGAAGAGGAAGGCCACTTATTAGATGATGAGATGGGATAGTGTAGAGTATGAGGTTGTAGGGCTGCAGTGGCTAATAATAGAGATTTGTGGATTAAAGTTATGAATAGTTTTGAGTTATATACTACTTATAGTGAAGTGTTCAATCCAATAGAGGAAATATATTATCTGATTGTATTTTGAAAGTGTTATTTTGTTTTAAATTAGTTTGAAATATTTTCTAAATGAAATAGTGATAGTTTTATTTGTTTATGTGCCATACTTAACTCTCAAGGGAAGATAAGCTTATAGTTGTGTAAATAATGGAATATAATGATAGTGTTATTTAAGGATTGCCTTCTTTTCAACATTATTATTATATTTTTATTTGATCAAACAAAAATATGGTCAATAGGAATTTTTCAGTATCTCGAAAGATATCAACACTTTTGAATTTTGTTAACAAAGCCTGAATCTACTCCTGTATTGTTAAATGAGTGATAAGATTGTTTGTGTGGCTCTCTCCTCTCTTTTTAGGAAAATATAATCTTGATATTAACTCTGAATGAAACATGAACAATAAAACATCAGTACAATTAAAAACTGTTAGTGTTAGAGATGGATTTTCTAAGAAGAAGCTGTAGCCTCTCAAGATAAAAAATATAGGAAAGGGAAAAATATTTTATATAATATTAAAAGCAGAAAACTTATAAGTGATATGATATTGAATATGATGAGGGTGAGAGACAACAGATGGCCGAAAAAAGTTTCTTTCACAAGCCAGAATTTAGAAAGAAGAGGAGACGGCCAAGAAAAATTTCGATGGAAGATGTAAAAGAGAAATGGCTGCAAGAGAATATTTTAGGATTTGGAATACAAAAATTGTACAAAACTTAGTAATAATACAAATTTTAAAAAAATTTAATGCGATGAAGGTGTATTTTCTATATGAAAACATTATTAGACTGTATATGCGAGCTTCATAGGACACCATTGAGTTCGAATGGGAACTCCTTACCTTTCTTCACACCCATATATCTGGATTTTCCCTTTCATTTATTAAGTGCCTGTTCAATGAACCTTTTGAAGAGAAGGTGATTTTGAAGCGTCAACCTTGGTTTAAGCCTTTGTTGATGGAAATGCAGAGGATATACAATTAGCCCACTCAAATTAGACATGTTGCCTTGCAAAAGTTCAGGCAATTCAAATTTCTTTTTCATTTTGTTAGGTATGCTGTAAATATAAAAAATCTAAGTTTCCGCCCTTAAAAGTCTTTAGGGTTCACTACAGTGCTTTAAAAAGACAATTGAAATTTAAAAAGACAACTTTTTTTGGTTTATACTAAATATCTCATTTTTAGAGCAACATAGATAAAAACTGGTTTTATTCAATCTTAAACAACTTAAAATTGTCTAATATCTTTAGATATAACATTTTTTTCTAAACCCAACAGGGGGCAAAATATCATCATATGTGGCACGACATCCCGTTACCGAGACTGGGCCTCCTCCAAGAGCCTCCGCCAGTTGGCTCTGTCTTCTGCTGCAGCTCTCCAGTTCCGTACACCAAGCAGGTTTCTCGCATCATAGGCCACGTTGTCCAACCATCTCGTCCTCGGCCTTCCTACCCGTCTTACGAGATGCAGCTCCTCCATCATTATTTTCTTTGGTATTTCAACGGTGCTCATTCTGGCCCTGCCCACCTTAGTCTGGCCAGTTTAATATACGTGACTACGTCGATGTCTGTATAGAGAGAACTGAGCTCCCTATTTATTCTTTTCCTCCAGACATCACCCTCCTTTACTGGACCATAAATCCTTCTGAGGACTCCTCGCTGAAACACACTCAGCTTCATCTCATCGTTTTTAGTCATCGTCCAAGCCTCTGAGCCATATGTCAAAACAAGCCGAACAAGGGTCTTGTATATGATCAGCTTGGTCTTCTTTGAGAGGTACCTACTTCTTAAGTGTCGGCCAAGTCCAAAGACACATCTATTGGCAGCCGTGATCCTTCTTTGTATTTCTTGAGCCATGTCATTTTTGCTATTAATTTCAGACCCAAGGTATATAAAACTTTTCACTCTCTCAAATTTAAAAGAACCTACCTCAAATGGAGAGTTCAGATCCACCTCACTACCAACTCTCATGTACTTAGATTTCCTCTCGTTGACTTCTAGACCAAGTGGTCTTGCAGCTGCTTCAAGGCTTATAAACGCTTCTCTGAGAGCCCGTTCAGACCTACCTATTATGCCAATATCATCAGCAAAACCAAGGAGCTGTGTCAGGCGATTAAAGATTATATCGTTGGTCTGAATACCGGAGTCTCTTACAGCTTTCTCCTCTGCCAAGTTGAACAATAGACAGGCGAGGGCATCCCCTTGCCTAACCCCACTGCTCACTTTAAACTCTTCGGAGTCGTCAGAACCGACGCGTATTCTACATCTCGAGCTGTCCATGGTCATCTTGATTAGGCGTACGAGCTTCTGAGGGATGCTTATCTCCTCCAAGGCACAGTATAGTTGCATTCTATCAACGCTGTCGTATGCTGCTTTAAAGTCTAGGAATAAATGGTGGGTGACTACCTTACGCTCCATAGTCTTTTCTAGGATCATCCTCAGAGAGAACAGTTGATCAGTGGTTGAGCGTCCTCTTCGAAATCCAGCCTGATATTTCCCCAGTTACTTTTCAGAATACGGGAGAATCTTCTCAAAAAGAATGTTAGAGAGCAGCTTATAAGCACACGAAAGGAGTTAGATTCCTCGATAGTTAGCGCATTCTGTTTGATCTCCTTTCTTATGTATTGGGCAGATAATGGCTGTTGCCCATTCCGTAGGCATAGCTTCCCTCTCCCAGATGGTCAGCATTAAATCATGCAGAGCTTTCTTGAGTTCTTCACCTCCACATTTCAACAGCTCTGACTGGATTCCGTCCGGGCCTGGCGCCTTTCCATTTTTCAATTTCCTCAAGGCGTTTTCCATTTCCTCCTCATCCGGGGGTTCAATAGAATTCAGGGAGTCTTCCTTCATTACTCCTACTTCTCCAGGCACCGTTCCTCTGTTTAATGCGTCTTTGAAATGTTGTACCCATCTCCTTAGTACGTCATCTTTGTGGCTTAAAAGAGATCCATTCGTGTCTTTACATGCCGTCACTCTGGGCCTGAAAGCTGCCCTACCCTCGTTTATTCTCTGAAAGAACAGCCGACTTTCATTTTGGCCGCGCAATGCCTCTATATCCTCCATGTTCTTGTTTTCCCAAGCTCTTCTCTTTCCGCGGAATAATCTCTTCTCTTCGCGTCTTTTTCTTCAATCTGTTTCTTGGGAGAGCCTTGTGGGACGCTGAACCTTCTTTCTGTAGGCTTCATTTTTCACTCTTACCGCTTGAAGGCACTCAGCATCAAACCATGGAGGCCTTCTAGATTTAATCTCGTAGCCAAGAGATTCTTCTGCTGCCTGTTTCATTGCGTTGCTGCATCTCTTCCACTGTTCATCGACCATAGAGCTGTCATTAATTACATCTTCATTAAGTTTCGTCTCCACAGCTTGTTGATACGAATATTGGTGATCTGAGTCCTTAAGTTTAGCTACATCAATCTTCTTCTTTGGTCGTTGGTGGTGGTTTTTAATCAGAGAAATTCGTGATCTGACCTCGGCAATGCTCAAATAGTGATCCGTGTCCATATTTGCACCTCTATAAGATCTTGCATTTATCATGTTGGACTTGTGACGGGCACTAATGAGTACATGGTCTATCTGTGATGATGTTTGCCCATTTGGAGAGATCCATGTTGCTTTGTGGATATTCTTTCGAGGAAAAAGAGTTGTTCCAACAACCAGTCCGTGCAATGTAGCAAAGTTCACCATCCGTAGCCCATTATCATTACTGGTCTCATGTAAGCTGTGGGTTCCTATGGTCGGCATGAGTGCCACCTCCTTACCAACTTGGGCGTTAAAGTCACCAAGAATGATTTTAACATCATTTTTGGGGCAGCTTTCTGCCACGCGTCCAAGTTCTTCATAAAATGTTTCCTTATCCTCCTCAAGTGACACCTCTGTTGGGGCATGGCAGTTGATTAGAGAGAAATTAAAAATTTTTCCTCTAAGCCGAATGTAGCATAACCTTTGGTTAATGGGAGTAAATCGCATCACTAGCTGTCGAGCTCTGCCTCTCTCAACAAATCCGATACCGAAGATGTGATGCTTTTCATGGCAGCTATAGTAGAGTGTATGTTACTTCTTCTCCATAATTCCCTGTCCTATCCATCGGACCTCTTGGATAGCTGCTATGTCGATTCTGTATGTGTCCACTTCTGCAAGGAGCGCACGAAGTGCTCCTAGTCTATGTAATGATAAAATGTTCCAAAATCCAATTCTTAGGTCATTTAGGCGTTTCCTGGGTCTGTTACCGTAATTCAGTCCGGCTTCTTCTCTTTGAGGTTTCGTAATAAGGTACTTTAGGGGGGGTGGGTTATCAGCCCACTGCCCTCGAGTCAGGTAGAGGGGCTGCCTCCTCCGAGCATCCTGACTAGCTCCCCCATCCGGGGCGGCTACCTAGGGAAGGTGACCCTAGGGTGTGTATTGTAGGTGACCTTTGTCTGTAGTGTTTAGGTGTTGTAGTGTGCTGTATAA